GCTATACTTTAAGTATATATAATTTTTGTGATGATAAAAGAACTCCCCCCCCCCCCCTACGATCAGAGCTTAAATTGGGCTGAAACCCACCGGTTCTCAGCTCTGGTGCTTCTTAGTTTTTATAATAAATCATAATTTTAGCCGGAACGCACCAAATAAGAAGCCCTGAATAAGAAGGCTATGGCACTTCTTTTATGTAATTGAATAACAATTTGAGTAGGAATTTTATCTCTAAAATTTTATTTTAACAATAAAATTATATTTAAAATCACTTATTAAATTTCAATTTATCTCTTTACATTTTATTTAATTTTAATTATTTAATTACTTCAATAAATAATAATTAATTATCAAATAATTATCGATTAAATTATAATTAATTAACTATCTAATAATTATCAATTAAATTATAATGAATTATATAATAATTATTGATTAAATAAAAATTTATAAACATTAATTAAATACCTATTAATTCATTTGATAGTAATTAACTATTTAATTTAAAAATTATTAATGAGTTTAATAATCATTTTATTTATTTATTTACTCTTGTTTCTCTTTGCTAATGGTTTTCCATAGGACTCCGGCACTTCTAATCTTAGAAATTAAGCCCTGAGCAAACCAAATGAGCACATACCATCTTTATCACTTCCAATTATTAGAGCTTAAGGATTATACACTCCGGAGGACATTTGCTTTCCTTCAATAGAGAGCTACAGACTGCACATTTACTGCGTCCATATTGCTCACAGATGAAGCTTACATCACACGTGAGAAAAACCTTCAATCAGCATAATGCCCATGTGTAGGCTTCACAGAACCCTCATCGTACGCAACCACGTGCAGCTTAAAAGTGTATCTTGGTCAATATTTGGGCCGGCATTCTTGGAGCTACCTCATTGGATCGTACATTCTACCCAGTCCTTTCGACGGTAGGGCATAGCTGACTTTCTTGCAACAAGTCCTGACCCAACTTCTTAACACAGCACCTGTTCCGCCATCGTTGCGCTGCTCCATGTAGTACTAGCTTGACAGGACTCCTCCGCATTACATGACTGATGTCTGCCGACACCTCAATGTAACCTTTGGACAGAGGTGGTTCATTGGCCTGCCAAATCACCGGACCTATCAGGCATGGACTTCTGGGGTCACATGAAGAGTTTGGTGGATAAGACACACATTTTTTCAGTTGAAGACCTCATCCCTCGGATATCTCTAGCTGCCGAGAGGGTAAGTGACATGGCAAGAATCTTCCAGAAAGATACGAATTCATGCAGGGCTGCCAGACAACTTCTGGTCATAATTTGGAATACCTATTGTAGTACTACGTTCCAATAAAATGTTTTTCTGCTCCCATGTTGCTGTTTCAGTTCTTTTTCTCTGCCTCTTTGCACCCTGCCTTCCTATGTGATTCCGAGTCTTCTCTGTTCCCCCTACACACCCAGCAAGTTTGTCAGTCTAGAAGCGAATCACCCTGTATATTTTCTATCTATGCTATATTTTTAACTCATATTGCCATTTTAAGTACATGGACTACTGGATTGAGGAAACTCCTAAATATTTTTAACTCATATTGCCATTTTAAGTACATGGACTACTGGATTGAGGAAACTCCTAAATATTTTGTTAACATAATTTTTAAAAAATAAATTTAATTCCTATTTTTTCTAATAATAATTCTTTTCTCAATACGAATTCATTTCTTCTTTCAAAAATTCTTTCTTTCTTTTTTTCTTCCTTTCAAAAAAAAGATTATGCATTCTGTAAATTATGGGTGTTCTAGTGAAATTCTGTTTTACCAGATGTTAGACACAGAACCGTAGCTAGAGTTTTCTAGCTAGAGAGTAGTAGAGAGAGGGGGCAGGTGAAGATTTTGCGCCCCCTTCTATGTGCTAAGAATAGGAAATATTTCATACTAAAATGTCATAATATCAAACTGGCGCCCCCTAGATACTGCGCCGGGACAGATGTCCCCCCCTTGCCCCACCCTAGCTACGCCCCTGGTTAGACAAGCAAGCTGAATAAACGGTCTTAAATATTGCATACTCCTTCGACAAAAATGTGCTCAAAGGTAAAAAAATATTATGACATTTCAGTAAGTGCTAAATTGGCTACTTTTCAAACCTTTCTGACAACCACTCAGGAGTAAACAATGAGAACTGAATTCATAAACACTTGCCACTCTATCAGAATACAAGAACCAAATACTGGCTGTTATCAAGGTCAAGATTTCGGCAAAGAAAGATGGGAAGTCTTTTTTTTAGCTTTGTGATGAAGTACATTATCGTTTCATAAAATAAAATGTTTTGCTTGTAAGAAGATAGCATGTACTCACTCTCGTGGCTTTTTAATCACTCAAGCACCTCATTAAGAGTGCTTTTTTTCTCTGTGTGTATTTTTCAAACATCCAATTTTTATAATTTCAATTATTTATATTTTTAAATTCATCCATTTTTAATTTTTTTAATAATTTGTCCTCACAGTAACTCTAAAAAAAATCTGATTTTTATTATTTAAAATTTTTAATATAATTTGCCCACGCAATTTTTTTAAATCATCATATCATTAAAAAATTCATTTTATGTTACATATATTCATTATTTCATTTTATGTTATACAAGTCAAAAGTTTTTAATCCAGACGTCCATAATCTGGAATGATCTATAATCCGGACCTCAAAGCTACAAACTTTCTGCGCATGCGTAAACGCATTTAATGTGTAACAGACGGTATAAGCTAAGCTAAAGTTATCTAATTATTTATTTCAGTTAATGTTGCAGATTGCGTTGTTCCTTAATCTTCGAATTGGACCCGGCTTATTATTTTTTGCAGACTGTTAGAGCAATTTTATAAAAGTAAGCTTGTCTTTTTGATTACGTCAAAAAGAATTTCCGATTCTGGAGCTGCCAAAGGATCTATAAAGCAAAAGCATGTTTCGATGTCCATCAAACAAAAAGTGGAATTGGTGCAAAAAATGGATAAAGGCATATTTTTTGTTTCTCTAACCATTCCGAAATCTGTTTATCAATTTCACGCTGCTCTGCGGGGGGGGGGGGGGGGGTCACGGCGCGCAATGAACTGGAAGTTTATCTGTCAGCACCATCCTTATCTTCAGGGCAGATTTTTTTTTATTCGGCTTATAATTCCTTACTAAATGTAGTATTTCATCTCGATGTACTACATCTTTGATATGATTTAAATCAAATTCCTCGTCATTTTAAATATCACGAATACACATCAAATAGTTTTCTGGTTGCAATTTTCTAATTTCGACTATGCGTAATGTATGCTTTACGCATGCGCGCGTTGAAAGAAATGTTTAATAAAGTAAACAAATAAATATTAAGCTTTTTTTTGTAAATTTCGATACCCTTCAGATCATAATTGCTCTTTATTTTTAAATTACGGTTTCATATTTTAATTTTATAATTTCTGCATGCCATCTTACCAGATTTAAACTGATGATCTATAATCTGGAAAAATCGATAATCAGGAATCCCCGAAGTTCCGACAAATCCAGATTAAAGACGTTTGACTCTATATATATTCATATATTAAATTCATTATTTATTTCTTAAAATTTTTACAGAGATTTTTAAGGCCTTTTTATTAAAAAATTTGTATCTCCCTCAAAGTGTTCTAGCTTGATAAATAATTTTAGTATAGAATTTATTCTCATCATTTTTTCAGATATTTAATTTTTACTAGAAAAACGTTGAATCTCCACTTTGAAAGTTTGAGTCCATAACTAAGAGGAGATTTGGAAAATTAAGAAATGTTTAATTTAGTTATAGCTTTTTAATTCCATATTTGTTTATATGCTTTTTATTGTAAAATAACATCACTATACATGAAATAGAAATTTTTTTTAGAAATAAACATATTAATATATATACAGTGAAAAGTCGTTAATTCGGACACCCGTAATCCGGACCTCAAAGCTAAAATCTTTCTGCGCATGCGCCGCATTGACGCATGCGCATAGGCGTTTTACTCGTGCGCGCAAGACATTTACGACTGCGCATATGCGTCTGCGCAAGTGCAGAATATGTTTTCGCGTGCGCGTTTAATGTATAACGGACGGTATAAGCTAAAATTATCTAATTATCTATTTCAGTTAATGTTAATAATTGCGTTGGTCCTTAATCTTCGAATTGGATCCGGCTTATTATTTTTTGCAGACTGTAAGAGCAATTTTCTAAAAGTAAGCTTGAACTTTCGATTACGTCAAATAGAATTTCCGATGCTGGAGCTCCCAAAGGATCTAGAAAACGAAAGTATGTTTCGATGTCCATCAAACAAAAAACGAATTGCTACAAAAAATGGATAAAAGCATATCCTTTGTTTATCTAACCAGTTCCGAAATCTGTTTATCAATTTCACGCTGCTCTGCGCGGGGGGGGGGGGGGACGTCGCGGCGCGCAATGAACTGGAAGTTGATCTGTCAACACTATCGTTATCTTCAGGGCAGATGTTTTTATTTTATTCGGCTTATAATTCCTTACTAAATGTAGTATTTAATTTCGATGTACTCCGTCTTTGATATGATTTAAATCAAATTCCTCGTCATTATAAATATCACGAATACAAATCAAATAGTTTTCTGGTTGCAATTTTCTAATTTCAGCTATGCGTAAGGTATGCTTTACGCATCCGCGCGTTGAAAGAAATGTTTAATAAAGTAAACAAATAAATATTAGGCTTCTTTTTTAGTAAATTTTGATACCCTTTAGATCATAATTGCTCATTATTTTATAAATTATGGTTTCATATTTTTAATTTTATAATTTCTGCATGCCATCTTACCAGATTTAAACTGATGATCTATAATCCGGAAAAATCGATAATCCGGAATCGCCGAAGTCCCGACGAGTCCGGATTAAAGACTTTTGACTGTATATATAATATATAAATGATACATAAAATTTTTCAAATTCATAGAGTAATATTAAATAATGAATCAATCACCCATTCAACAAATATAAAAATAAACTCACTTTACCAACAGCTGTCGATCCAGTAAAAGAAATAGTCGAAATCTTGGGACTTTCACATAATCGTTTCCCAAGTGAAGGTGTATTACTTTTGGAAGAAGTTACAATATTAATAACACCAGGTGGAACTTGAGCTTCTTCTGCTACTTGTGCAAAAGCGAGTGCAGATAAGGGTGTATCTTCAGCAGGTTTAATTACACATGTGCAACCAGCAGCCAAAGCTGCTCCAACTTTGCGAGTAATCATTGCATTGGGAAAGTTCCACTAAAAAAGACACACAATAAAAAATATTTAAAGCAGTTAAACGATTATGGATTGAAAAGATATATCAGTTTAGACTACAGAGATTTTTAAGAAAATGTTAAAATTTAAAATTCCATTTGAGGAAAAAAAATACTAGAAATAAAATTTAAATATACCTTGAAAATTGTAGTATCATGAAATTTTGCATGTCATACAATTTTAGTGATTCTCTACAAGACCAAGTGTCAGTTAAAATACATAATAGTGAAAATATTTCCTCTTACTTAGTGGCAAATAAAATTAAATGCAGTGCAGTCTTCACAATGATAGAATATGTAATTTATTTTTACAGTATCAAGGGTTTAAACAAATATTAAAATGCAGCTACATATACCAAGCAAACCACCAAAAATTAGAGATAATAATGATTGTAAATCACAGTTGATATCACCAAAAAGAAAGAACTGGAGGTTAATATTACAATTCATAATAGATACTGCAGAAGAAAAATGAATCTACTAAACTTAGTGGCGCAACAGCCCTAGTGGGCCAAGGCCAGAAGTAGCCCCAAATCTGCTTTCTTGACCATGGGCCCCAGGGTACGTAAGCATATGCCCTGAACAAGTGGTCAACTTAGTCGCAGGACCCTCGGTGTTTAGTCTCCAAGCAAACTTGGTACTCATTTCATCAATCCACTCAAGGGATGAAAGGCTGAGTCAACCTTGCCAAACCCGGGGATCGAGCCCCGGACATGTGGCGCAGCTGCGTGACATGCTAGCCACTTGGCCACTGGGCAGTAGATTAACAAAAGGAAAAAGAAATTGAAGAAAAAGATAAACCACAAGAAAGATAGGAAAGCATCACTAAAGGAATTCCGTTCAATTCCATTCACTAAAGGAATTCCATTAATGAACCTAAATTGTGGGAAGATGCAGAATTTTAAAATTCCAGTGAAATAAATCAGTTCATGAAAGAAAATAACACACAGTTGACTTATCAAAAGGAAGAAACCAGCAGGTTACAATTAGACTTCGAAACGAAACTACATAAATGCACAAAGAAAAATCAAAACTTTAAATCTTACTAGGATGAAACATAGGTTTGGATTCAACTACTGACTTGATGAATATATGTCAAAAGTTTGTACCTGATTATGTTGTTGCTTATGCTGACTTACCTGACAGTAACATCAGCCCAAGCCTACGAAATTCTTGGTGGCAAGGCATGCAAGATATGCCTGTCATTGGCAACAGCCTCTCCTTCAAACCTGGGATGATACTGTACAGTTAGTGCAGCAGTACTATCTGTACAACCAATGGTGAACTCTGGCATCACACCCATTTCTCTCTGTCTTGTCCTAAGCGAAACAAGACTGCCAAGACAATGTCCCGCAAGCAGCGGAAAATACTGTGGGTATGTATACACAAGTAAGTTTTATATTGTGGCTATCGCTGAACACAACTACTGCAGATAATCCTCCTGTTCAAACTAAAGCTGAGAGAAATGCTTTTTTTTTTTTTTTTAAATTTCTTATTCTCCCAAGCATAGCTTGATGTCATAATGCCATTATGCTTCTTGGAATGGAGCGTACAATGCAAATATTCTGCTCAGACAAAGAAGTAACTATGATGAAATACAGAAAATTGTGTAATTCTGCTGATGGTAATAAACTTACAAGAATGATTATCAGAAAAGATGTCAATGTTTTATAGCTAATACAATAAACTTGATTACATTTTTCAAACTAGATTCCACAAATACAGAATGAAATATAATGCATTAATTGTATTTATTTTGTGACAACAAAAAAGATCACATTAAAGTATTGTTGTTTCTTATGGCTTTATTCAGAAATCAATCCCTCACCAAAAAACAAAACATTAAATTCAAAACTGACATCACCAAAAGATTTAAAAGACTTAAAAATTACAACACTAAAATTCAAGTCTTTACAATTCCAACACATTAAGACATAAGCATTTCACAATTAAAATCTTAAGTCTTCAGTGATTACAGAAGAAGCAACCATGTGCTCAAGACATAAGACCCCTGGCCATCCAATACCGCAGGAGAATATCACTGCTATATTGTAACTTAGGGTCAAGGTCCAGACAGAGAAGAAAGTGCTGCTTATTCATAGTGTCTGTTAAATAAGGGACGTTGGCTATTAGTCAATATGCCTATTCTGCTGGCATGTTTGGCTAAGCAATCGTGTCCTGTACTCAGTCTGAAATTAGCCACAGCCTTTATAAGGGGCTTGCGACTAAACTCATCATATTGAAGTATAAAATAAATGAAACCGGAAGGAAAAATGATCTAAACAAATTTTATTATAAACATGTTTCAAACAAAATAATCAATAAATTAATTAATATTAATTAAAGTTAATAGAATCTCATAGAACATTAAATTATTGAAAACAATGAATGTCCTGGGAAATACGTAGCGTATTCGGAAACTAAGTACCGTTTCATTCTAGCACCGTCGCAGCGCCGTGGTAGGCGTCCCGCGCATGCGCACTAGTCTTTCTTGTTTACTGACTTTCAATTGTCACCATTTTGGTTGCTCTATGTTGTGTTTTCAGTTTGCTGTGTACTTTCAAAATGTTTAAGACAATTAGTTCTCCCGCTGACTGTGAGATTTGTGCCGTGATTAAATTTTTGAATGCGAGGAATGTTAAACCAGCCGAAATTTATCGTCAAGTGACAGAAGTTTACGGTGAATACGCGATAAGTGATGGAATGTGAGAGAAAGTGGGTAAGAATGTTTAATGCAGGTCGAACAAATGTCCACGCCGAGGCTCGGAGTGGTCGGCCTTCTGTTGTCACCGATGATTTGGTAAGGAAAGTTTATGAAGCAATTCATGAGAACAGATGCTTCACAATGACAACTCTTTCAGAGGCATTTCCACAAATTTCACGTACTGTTTTGTTCAAAATTGTGTCTGACTGCTTGAATTATCGCAAACTGTGTTCCCGATGGGCTCCAAAAATGCTCACTGATGTTCACAAAACAAAGCGACTTGGTAGTGCCCTGACATTTCTCATGCGGTACAGTGATGAGGGAGAAAACTTTTAACCAAATTGTGACAGGTGATGAAACTTGGGTGTGTCATTTCACACCAGAATCGAAACAACAATCAATGGAGTGGAGACACACTCATTCTCCGAAAAAACAAAAGTTCAAAGTGACAATGTAATCACAAAAAATCACGTGCACTGTCTTCTGGGATAGGAAAGGCGTTTTGCTTACTGAATTTCTTCCCAGAGGTGAAACTATTAATGTGGCACGATATTGTGAGACTTTAACAAAACTAAGGCATGTCATTCAAAACAAACGAAGAGGAATGCTCAGTAAAGGAAATGTGTTGCTCCATGACAATGCTCGGCCCCATACTGCTGGTGTCACTCAATCGTTCATTCAACAGTTTCATTGGAAGCAGTTTGATCACCCGCCGTACAGCCCGGACTTGGCGCCGTCCGACTATCACTTGTTCCTGCACATGAAGCACGAGCTTGGTGCCAAGCGCTTTGGATCTGACGACACGAAAAATCCTGTGGAGTCGTGGTTATCGAAACTAGCGGGAAGTTTCTTTGACGATGGTATACAAAAACTGGTCACCTGCTATGACAAGTGTTTGATCATTGGTGGAAACTATGTTGAAAAATAGTTTAAGACATGTATTTTCATGTAAAAATAAAATTGGATTCGAAAAAATTGTTTTACTATATTTTATTTATTTATTTATTTATTTTCAAAACGGTACTTAGTTTCTGAATATGCCTCGTAATTTTGCCTTTGATCGAAGACTTAGAAGATGACATTTTAGATCACACTGTTTAGTTTTATAACGAAGTACATAAAGGAAAATTTATTTATAAGAAAAAGAGCAAATGATAGCAACTATACAAATTATGCAGCAAGAAATGTGGGGAATTTTATAAACTCTGAGACATTATTTACTCAAAAGATTAACTACCCACAAGCACTTTAAAAAAGTGGGTTTAATAATATTAATTTGGAAAATACATTCATATTTATCAATAGTATGATAAAAGTGAGTCAGAAATATAGCTATATGTTTGAAGTAAATGTAGTTATGTTACTGAAAACTGCAGAAGGAAATTAAAATAGAAACTTAATTTTTTTTATTTCAAACCATAGCCACGTGCACAAGCTTCTGAGTTTAACTAGATGGCATTTAATGTGCACCAGTAAGCTGACAGTTGCAGCATGGATGATTGCACTGTCACTGAAACCAGCACTGCTGTTTTTGCTAAATCCGTTGGATTATAGCTTCCTTGATGTGCGGTTGGACCTGGAAATGAAAGTTGATAAGAAGAAATGAGTCCAGAGCAAATAAGAACTATAGCTTTGGAAACAACTGAGCAATGTTTTCTGGCTGAGGAATGGATACATGTATATACAGATGGCTCTTTGACCGATAAGATTCAAGGGGCTGGAGCTGGAGTTTTTAGCAAGCTTTTCAGTTTCTACATACCTGTAGGGGCTTACTCCACTCACTTTGATGGAGAACTGAAAGCCATTCATGTAGCTCTCCAACAATTATCATTGCGACAGAGCTCGTTATGTAGCTCTCCAACAATTATCATTGCGACAGAGCTCGTTCAGGAGGGCTGTTGTACTGCCTGATTCGACTTCAGCAATGCAGGCCATTTCCTCTTACCAAGAGTGTAAGAACACATGTGTTCAACAGTGTCAGGAAGTTGTAAAAGAACTTTCCCACAAGATATCTTTTCAATGGGTACCTTCACACTGCGGTATTTATGGGAATGAGATGGCTGATACACTTGCAAAAAAAGGGGCTATTGTTCTTCAGAAGCCAAAAACGAGTGCAAGCCTCCATTTTATTAAGCTTCTGACATCGCTAACATATCAAAAGACTTTTAGAGGTTTTCGGGCTAGTGAGGGCAAGCCTTAGAGTGTTCTCTTATCAAACCCAGTTTTTGTTCCTGACCACCTGCGAACAGTTGCGGTTGCATCTTTTACACTACTGATGGGACATGACTGTCTACAGAATCATTTATTTCGCATTGGACTAGCTGATTCACCGTTGTGTGTTTTATGTAATAGTGGATGGTGAATGACGGTGGAACATTTGAACGAGTGTGAAGCACTGACAAATTTTTTTTGTCGATTTCAGCGCTATTGGCAAGCAAGGAGTTTAATGGCCTAACAATCAATGTAACTGGCATTTGACAAATAAATAAATAAAAAATAAATGATTGCATACCAAATTAATCACGAAGCTATATGACTACAGAGATTGATTTTAAGGCAAATTTATATTGCCAATTGCGGAAAAATTGAGAAAACTACTGTTTACATCAGTAAGCATCCAGAAAACAAAAAATTCTGAAAGAATTTGCAGTAGCACTAGCAGTAATATTGATAAGGATTGTGGAAGCTTTCAGTAATAATCCGGGCAACTGACACACTAAGATACTGGTGGTACTGCTATATACTATTCTTTCTGAAGAACAATACATACACATACAACCAACCTTAGTTCCCTTAGCCATAATATCATCATATGTGATCAAATGCAAAGTAATATTTTGAGTTCATAGAGTAGGAGAAGGCAGTCCATGTTTAAATTAAGTAAAACTGTTAAATCTTTGAGGAAAATCAATGCTTCAAAGAGAAATTATTAATTCTTATTTTAAAACAAAAATTAATTTCCAGATGTTAAGACCTGATAACATGCGTAAGAACACAAGGTGACGAAGGAAAGCCAAAGCTTCACAAAGTAGAAGAAGAAGAAGATCTGATAAATATTCAAGTAAAATTTTTAAGATTATGGAAACCCTAAAATGAACATTTTTTATTACTTTCAAATAAAAAAGTAAATCAATAATTATGGTTTTAAATGCAGAAAACTTTAAGTTGGAAATTGAGTCCAAGACATCTTCATCTGCAGATAATTGTGCTACCACTGTACTATCAAAGCTGCTTACTTCTTCAAAGTAACTGTTTGGAAGATTTTGTGAGCCTGGTATGCTATTATACGTGAATTTATATGCCATGCAATGTAAAATTCAAAATGTTGATAAATATATACTAACTGGAGTGATAATTCCAGCAACACCAAGAGGTTGTTTTAAAATAATAAGTTGCTTATCTTTATATGGAGAAGGAACAACATCACCATAAATACGCCGAGCTTCTTCTGAAAACCATTCCAAAAAACTTGCACCATAATTTATTTCAGCCTCAGACTCCTTCAAATGTTTTCCCTAAATAAGAAAAATAAAATTCTTACAGTTAAATATGTCTTTAAAAAAAATATACCTCATCATCTTTAAAAAATCATCAGCGGCATTACAAAAAGATACACAAACATACATTTGATATTGTTATAAAAGGTTTGGTTTATCTAATTATGGTAAAGCAGTCAAGGGGTATCTAGCTAAGGAGAGGGATGCTTTCATGGAGGATTTTCTGAAGGAAACTGGCCTTGTTCACCTATTATATATGGGGAAAACCATGAAAACGCACATGCTGTCATCCCCTTTGTCGGGATTCGAACCCCAGACCGAACTACCAGTGTTCAGCGATTTTACCCCTCGGCTGCTGGTGGGCTGTTATAAAAGATTATTCTAAAAGTCTGAAAAGTAGTCTAAGCCTCCTTGAATAGCTTACCTCATCAGCACCAAATTCTGTTCATTCAAGTATTGCCTACGCTAAATTTTCTAAATGAATTCTTTATACTTTCTCTCTCTTATATATATACACTGCCCTCCAAAAGTTAAGGAATAGCATGTTTTTCAAATCTCACCATTACAAAAATGCCAATAACGTTTAAATTCACAGTTCATACGCATGACAGTAACAAAGTTCAAGAAAATATATGCAAAAACAATAGCTACCACTTTTATATTTTATTTTATAGTACTTATATAGCAGTTGGAGGGGGGAAATGGCAGCTTTCGACCGCGTCTGGCATGAGGGACTCACTGCAAAACTAATCAACCTTAATTTTGAAAGAGAAATTCTTTTGATCATCCTCTCATTTATCTCGGACAGGACTTTTAAAGTGTACATGAAAGAAGCTTACTCCTCAGAACATAATATGCAAAGTGGACTACCTCAAGGGTCTTGTTTAGGCCCTGTACTCTATTTATTTTATGCTGCAGGCTTCCCTAAACGCAACAGTAACGACTCTATCCTTGCATGTTACGCAGATGATACTGCCCTGGCAGTTAAGTCTGCAAACATTAACTTCGCTATTAAGAAACTACAAGCCTTCATTCCAAGTATCGAGTCATGGTGCACGAATTGGAAAGTGAAGATTAATGCTCAAAAATCTCAATTATTGATCATTCGCAGAAGGAAAAGAAATAAGCAACTGAAGAATCACCTTCTCCTCTTTAATGAAAGAGTTCCTACAGTGAAAAGTGCCAAATATCTCGGAGTCACTCTTAATGATCATCTTACCTGGACTGACCATATCAACAATGTTTGAACCACTGCACTAAAAATTATCAAGTGCTTGCTTCCTATACTTGGTAAATACTCTATCTAGAATGGATTTGGGGAAGAAAGACTTGTTTTATCTCTCCACACAATTAGACCTATTTTGACTTATGCATCTCCTGCCTGGGCGGCAGCCAAAGACTCAGATGTAAACAAACTCCAAATCGTTCAAAATAAACTCCTGCGTATTATCACGAACGCACACTATTATGTCCGCAACAAGACTCTCCATGAGGACCTCAAAATCGATACCATCGCGGGACATCTGTGAAAACTTAACGATAAATTGTGTAGGGATGTAACTTCATGAATCATTTCAACATGTTTCATTATGAAGTTCTCACCAATGATCGATTTCTTCGACCTTTCGCGGCCTACCATACTCAGTGGAAACAAAAATTTCCCCACCTGATACCAAGTTAGCGGAAATTTTAATCTGTGCATAGTGATTTTACTCTTATTTTCTTTTACTTTACTCCAGAATACTGCTTTTCTTCAATATTCAAGAAGCACTTCTAAAAGTCAGTGCCTGGGAGAGTGACCTCCCATGTGACCTAAGAACTTGAGTTCTATGTTCAGCCTTGTTGTAGGACTTTCTGCATTTTTAGGACTAAAATTTCTGGTATTGCTCATATTTATCATATTGAAGAACATGAGAAAAATAGTGATTTTTAGCTATTGCAACCCATTATTTAATTATTTTACTCTTTTCATCAGTTTTGGACAAGTTTACGCTAAGCGAATCAGAATGCCTGTTTCCACTCACGTGATATGTGACCTATTCTAAGTATGCTCTGGGATAGACATCTTGAATTTGTATATATGTATTTTGTATTAACATTTGCTCCGCATTTATTCTGTTATTTTGTAACTCTTACTAAAATTATTGCTTTCCTGAAACATCTTCGACTGTTATAATGAAACCATGATTCTGTTTACACCCCCCCCCAATCATGGACTCAGAACTTCAACTTACAGGACTGCTAGACTGTATTATGTGATGAAATTAGGTTTATTCCATATGTTGTTACTCTGATGATTACTAGAAAAATTTCCCTTTTATGTAATTATTTCTGCACATTTGTACATTTAAGGTTTTCTTCAGCATTTCTAACCTGAAATCTCGCAACGTATTAACGACTTCTTCACACCTCACGTGACAAGGTAGTCACGCCCTCTCAACATATGCAATCCTGACTTAGGTCTCACTCATGCATTCTCCTACCTTCAGCGCCCTATAGCAACTAACTCAGACAGCTGGAACAAAACTTGCAAATCCTGCAAGTTAATCAGCGGCGCATCCAGCGGAACTTGGAACTTGGAGAAAAAAATGGAAAAATTGTAATTTTTCCTCACAAGTGTTGATCTTCAGTTGTTATTACAGTTTCGTGGACAACAGGAGAAGTAATTTGCACCGATTCGTTGAGCTGGTGGGCGATCGGATGGATGGAAATGGGGATGTCACAAGCTGATGCTGCTAGATGTTTCAGTGTTTCTCGTAGTGTGGTCCACCGACAGTGGCGTAGCTAGGGTGGGGCAAGGGGGGACATCTGTCCCCGGGCACTGCATCCAAAGGGCACCAAATTCATGCTACGAAATTTTTTAATGAAATGTTTTCCATTTTTGGCACACCGAAAGGGGTGCAAATTCTTCAGTTGTCCCCAGGCGCTGGAAACTCTAGCTACGCCCCTGTCCACCGACTATGGGATCAGTTTGAATCCGAGGATTCTGTGTCTAGAAGACATGTTCCAAGGCAGACCTATAGTTATGACACCACAGCCGGAGACCGTTATTTAGCTCTTTCGGCCTGAAGGAGGAGTAACATTACTGTGCCTCAGCTCCTCGCAGATCATTTAGTGGCAACAGGAACAAGAATCTCAGCTACTACAGTGCACAGACGCCTCCACAATGCAGGTCTGTATGCAAGAAGACCAGTTGTTTGTGTCCCCTTGACGAGAGGACACAGAGATGCCCGTTTATGTTGGGCAAGAGAACATGTCTCCAGGACCAGTCAACAATGGGCATCTATTCTTTTCACAGACGAGTCCAGGTTCACATTGGAGAGTGATTCAGGACGTCAGCTGATCTGGAGGGATACCACCAACGCACCAGATACCACAAATCCCACACTGCGGAAAGACACAGTTACAGAGGTTGTGGAATAATGGTTTGGGCTGGGATCTTTCTCGGTGATCACACTGATCTGCGTGTGTTCCATGGAGAAACTTTGACCAGTGTGAGATATCGAGACAAGACCTTGATCAATATGTCTGCCCATATGCTGCTACTAATGGTCCTAGATTTCTTCTGATGGATGACAATGTGCGACCGCACCGAGCTTCTATTGAAGAATATCTTGAGGGTCACGGTATGGCGCGAATGGAATGGCCAGCTCAATCCCCAGACCTGAATCCGATAAAGTATCTTTGGGCCTACCATGTGAGACAGGTTTCTGCTTTTCCTCGTCCTAGGTCATTAGATTAGCTTGAACAAGGATTACTTTGTGTCTGGGCGTTGCTTCCCATTTCACTGACTGACAACCTAATTGACAGCATGGAACGTTGCAGCCGCCAATGTATTGCACCTAGGGGTGGATACATTCCTTATTAGAACCCATTTTTGTAATGTTACCACCCCCTTTTTCTTCAAAAAACTGTTATATACTGTTTCTTCAAGACTGGATTTCACTCCCAAGAGTACATTCATGTTTGTGTTGAACTTTAGAAACATTCTATGTCGCATTCATTAAAGAACTGTTTAGTGAACATGTCCAGTAGTTTTCCTGTTTCATGTTGCTTCATTTGTAGTCATTAGGATTTTTTTGGAAGAAGGCAAGATGAAAAATTAGCAACGCCTTCTCCGGGAATCGAACCAGGGACCTCTCAATTACGCACTGAGCGTGCAGACCACTACACCACGAAGGTTCACTAAGAAGGCAGGAGAAACACCTTATATACTCCCCCTTTTAAAGGGCAATTGGGATTTTTAGTGTGTGCAATGCCAAATTTATGTCTTCAGTTCATTGTTTAAGTTTACCAGTTCGTTGTTTGTCCACCCCCTGTGTTCTTGTGTTAAAAACCAAATGCAAGATTATAGTTTATACAAAGAATTATATTAGTGTTTGAATGCAAAGTCAAATGTCATTTGAAAACTGTTAAAGATGAAAATACTTATCCTGTAATAGATATGATATATGCTGAATAATAATTTATGCTTTACAAGCAGTTTCTTTTCAACAGAAATAATTTTAAAAATATTTCTGCTATTCCCTGTTTCAAATGCAGCTCTTGAAAGATCCATTCACAAAGGAAAGAGAAATAGGGAGGTCAGAGTCATTGAAATAATTTTTTAATTATAGCATTGAAAATAAATTTTATTAATAATTTTGCAGCTGTATAAAGTAGAAGAGTCCTGTTGTAAGATTTTGTTACTTACAATATAATATCCTGCTTCTAAAAAATACCTAATGTCTCTACAGTGGCGCCCGAACTAAAAGGGTGTTCGATGATGATTCCCCTCACCCAGAATTTAGCAACTGGGTCCCCTAAAAAAAGAACCCCAGTCGAAAAGAACCCTAAAGGGCGACTGGGGTTATTTTTAGGCCTTCTTAGTGAGCCTTCGTGGTGTAGTGGTCTGCAAGCACTACACCAATTCGTGGTCTGTGAAATTGAGAGGTCCGCGGTTCATACACACACACACACACACACACACACACATATGGGTGTATGTGCGTTTCCAAGATAAATAAAAATAATAAATA